AAGCCACATTTGGAAAACTGCTGTGCCGCATCACAGCCAATACAAGAAAGCAGCAAAACAGCAACGTACTTGGTCCAGAATTTTTCCAGCTCTCATTGCGGCAGTATGGTCGACTTCAAATGTTCGCGTTGGGAAAGGAATGGCGTTGAGCACGAAAACGCGGTGTTTAACCACCTGAGAGAGATCATGAAGAACTGCAGCGGCGTTTTCAAGCACCTCTGTCGTCTGAGTCGTCATTAGCATTTGCATCAACTGAGTATGCCTAGGAAAATAAAGAACTCGTTGTCTTCCGTGACCTTGAGCGTTTAGAACGCAATGCTTAGAGGTGCCATGCAATACACACGTGGTTGTTAGTTTAATAACGCGCACTGGTTTCACTCTGCCTTCGATATCTCCGGAGTCGGCAAATTGATACCAGACTTATCTAAGAGAATAACAACACTGATTTGATAGACCGGTAGATTACCGCAAGTCATTTTATAGGCCAGAGAAATGCTTTCAATCATGCCTAACATTACTAAATGAAATACAACAGCAAGAATACTGAGATATGAGCAAAACCCGGTACCTCAGGTGAGCATTGAGCTAGCGACTATTCTTCTCGGAGCTCACCTGTATACCATTGCAGCAACCGGGTCCATTGCTTTGCCTTTCTCTCGGCCAGTTTTTTACCCAAGCTTTGTTATTAGAAATTACCCGTAGACGTACCACCTCTGCGTCAGGATACTAGATGAAGTCGATTCCCTCAGAGATTGATCAACGCTGAGTACTTTATCCATATCCTTTATAACTATGTGCAGTCATTAGAGCGCACAAAAACAGGTCACAGAACAACAGAAAAATTTTTGATAAGGGAATACAAAGAGAATTAAAATGAACAATGCAATGATTGCAGATTGTTGAATATGGAAATGACAGATATCGGTTCACAAATGAATTCCCGACTCTTCCCTGTAGTTCCTTAAATTTTTGTCAAGATTTTGTCTCACCTCGTTAGGATAAAGAGAACATCTGGATTATATTCTTGCACGGCTTCGTGAAATATCCTTCGAGAGTCGTGGCAATGATGATAACTTTTGGATGCAACGAGAACCTCACATCCTACAGCACAAGCAGAAAATCAGTCCATTAGCATCAATAAGCACTTGGTGAAACGGCTTTCAGTACCCTCTATTTGTAGTTGGTGGGCGATTGGGGTTTTGCCTTTTTCGACCGGCACAACGTAAAAAAAAATAGTAACAACCGAAGACTTAAGCAGAGAACACACCTGCCTGTGAGAAGATTTTCACTTCAGCGTCAGAACTAGCGCAGCTTTCGTAGACTATTCGGCCCTGATTCGCTGCAAAACTATTGCCAATCACCAAGATCTTGTGAGTTGCAATGTGATCCTGCAGCGAAAAGTCGTTAGGTACAGTTTTGAAATATTCTTCAAAGAAAGCATTGAATAAAACATAAAGCAGGACGAGGAAATAAACCGGAACCTTAGGAGAAAGATCGCACCATCCCCAAGGTAATGAGTCGCTTCGATAGGAACATTTCGTATAAAACAACTGATTCTCGTCGTCTAACGAACTCCACTCGTTTATTCGGATGATCTGTTCTGAAAGCACTTTGTTGGAACTAATCCCAACTGATATTGCAGTACCAGGTATAGTACTATCAAGGATTCAGAAGTTGGCGGATAGAAACAAGTTCTGGATTAGTAGTAGTCTTACCTGTACTTAAATTCATCTGATAGAACGGAATAACACATGCTTCAGGCGATCCGTACACTTTAGCTGGACACACAGGTGTGAATAGCTTCGAGATCCACTTTGTATCGTTGATGAGAAGTTTGCTTGACCTTTCAGTCATGTAGAATACAGCGATAATAACATAGAGACCGATGACCAAAGAAAAAATTGCCTTCGGGTTGGCTCGTAGATAGGCCTTTTCAAAAGTCTCTGTGAGCACCATAGATGTGATGAAGGTGATCGCAACGCCAAGATGAAGACCTCGAGAACAACGTGTAGCTTAAGGTCTTAAACACTCTAGTGTAATCAGCTTCAAATACCTATAAGGGTATAGAAATGGTGGAATAAAGTTAGGAAAGCATATGATAAATCCTTTTTTATTCTACTCCAGTATAATGCGTGTAAATTTTAGTACGTAAGAGCAGGCAGGAACACGCCAGTAGAAACAGGATTCGCTACCTCAACACCCAAACATTGCATTACATATTTTAGACTGCAATCTGGATGAATCCTTATCATTTATTCTCAACGCTACACAATGCATTTCCTGCTGGCAGATAGAGGGTTGAAGACGTTTAGACAAAAAGTGCTTAAACTTGCAGAGATGGGTTCAGTGGAAGTCGTATGACTTCGAATTATAAACCAGGAACAGTGGCATCGAAGTCTTCCATTGAAAAAGAGTTGTTGCAAACCAAGAAGGTTGGTTGGAGATCATGGTCAATTTGTTGAGCATTTGATCATCGAATCGGATGTTAATGTTCGAAAACATGTGGCAAAGAAACAGGCTTGACAAGCAGAGTGGACAGATGCCTAACTTTATGAGCGATGACAGGGACCATTTACTGTAGCACCCAGTGCTCAATATTAGAAATGAAAGTCTTTTAATACATAGCGCCACGTCGAAATAGGCAATGCCATAATAAGTTGAAAGCTCGGCCTAACCAGTGTCTCCTTCTTTTCTATGGTTTAACCCCCTATTCAGAATATGCCGTTATCGACAATATCAGCAAGCCTTCATGATGCTGGTAGAGTGAAAACTCTGTGAGTTTGAAAATCAGCAAAAAACTTCGCTTCAAGAAGCCTTTAGCAGAGACTTAATTATTTGAATGGCATGAGCCGCAGGAACCTTCAACATATAAAACCTATAAGAGATCAAGAAGCTCACAGCTCCGTGGAATAATTAACGCTACCACAGAGATAATGAAGAAGATCTTACATAATTTCTACTTAGACCTCTTTTGTTGTCGCACCAACCTACCTTCGTGCAATGTTGGAGCAGATGGACTTGTCGTCTTAACACTCTGAATTCCGAAGTGCTACATGCTATGTCGTCCATGAGAAACGGCATTCAATTGAAAAAGCATTAAACCCCAAAATATGGAGTACTTATCCCTAATCACAAAACTCATCATGTAGTAACTATTCCTCGAAATAGTTACTATTCCTTAATTTAAATACACACCTACAAGGCTAATTCCATCAAGTGTTTCAAATGAACAGTGCTTTGGCATTGCCAACTAAAGGGCTGCCCAACGATGCAAGGTAGAGGTCCCAGCGAGAGGACCAAGAGCCTTCGGTGTATGCGTCCCGGTGGCGACCGCGGTCGACAAGCGGAGCGGTAGTTCTTATAACACCGTCCATAGTTTATCGGCCTTGTTGATTGATTGCATCGCAGTTCATCGTTACCTCGTCTCATTCGGCCTTCGGTGCGTGGTCAGCGAGACGAGACTTGCTCATGGGCATTCTGCCTGATCCGCTACTAGTGAAAACGTAACCATCTTTTCGCCTATTATACACAATGTAGCGTGTAAGGCAGTTTGTGGGCATTACATGTTGAAGCACTATGACTCTGCTAGCCCAAGTTCATATATCATACCTGTGGTTTATCGCCGGTGCAAAACTTCTCTAAGCGGACATAGCGTTATTGCATGTAACGCCATCTGATCTGTACCCAGCAGCCAATTGCTGATATCAATTCTCGTTAAGCACTTCATTGATGGGCATTGATCGTGTCATCGTTCATCGGCATTAGTACATACTTGTTGATTGTCTCTTCCTTATCTTGTTGCTCATGTGATCCATTGCTCCGGTCTGTAGGATCATGTGGCAACGGCCCATGTCAGCTGTACTTTGTTCCCTATGCGTTACCCACTCTGCTGATCTACACCGGTGCACTATCTCTCAGCCTCCGCCCCGGCTACAGATAGTGTGGGCGTGGCATCCTGCATGGCTGTCTAGTCGTTGTACTGTGATGTAGTCATTATTGTAATTGTGGTTGTACTTGTGTTCTAGTAGTACTCTTGGCACAACAATCCTTTAGTGGCTTCACTTTAGTACTATCTGTAGCACCTCATGATTTCAAACTTGCGTTATGTTATGCCGGTATTTTGCTATCTTTATTATTATGTTACTAATGTTGTTATGCGTATAGAGCTTTAACTACCCAGGTTTGAGGCCGGTTACTCGATGCAAACCAAGAAGCTCCGCGTAGCAGAACCACACACATATTAACATCTAGACGTCCTACTATAATCCGATGAATCGGCATCCTGAGAGGGCGCTTCGTCGCCAATATACATTAAAACACTAGGTTGGTTTCTTATGAAATAATTTATTCAGAACCAGCGAATATTTTACTGATTTCAACAGCGCTTACAGAAAAGTCGATGTTCGGTTAAATCCAAAGAGGAAGAAACTTATTCTTTTTTGAAGCCCTATACGCAGTGATTGAATTGATTGCTCTAATCGCTTCAGTACGTGCATGTGGGATGGAAAGTTAATCGGAGAATGATTTAGCCTCACTATATAAGAGACACCGAGCGAGTTGAGAAGGAGCATCCGTACATGCGGTTACTTTTTCGACATAATGGGATTTTTTTCGCCAGCGCTACCAAGCATGATATTAGGAGGATGACGCAAGTATCTTGCATCAATTGAGAGAATGAATCCTAGGCTCTACCCCACGTTTAAGATAACAGATCTGGAAAGCCACCGTGTACGCCACGATGGCTACTATTAATTGGAAGTAACACGTGGTGCGTCTTAGTGATATCGGTAAATAAGAGCGGCTTCTACAGGATTTTAGTTGTACAACAATAGAAAGACCACTGGCAAAAACGGCCAGCCTTCGTCATTGCTGTCCAGGGGAAACAGAATTCACTGAATAGAAGTACTTTGCGACAATGATAAAGTACAGATGGAGACTTTGTTGGTAGACGCTCGATTAACCCTATGCCTTATAGCAACTATTGCCAGAATAGTTACTATTCATTCATCATATCGTAGATCTGTGCAACCATATTCGTAGCCCATAGCATCGCTTTGCGATCTTGCAGCATGTAAACGTATTCACTTCGCTGGGAGAAACTTTGGTTGTCGTAAACATCCTTTGTGAACCACACTCTTTTTATACAATCGGAACCTTTTGTGTGTTGCATCTGTTCCAAACCATCACGGGTACGGTAACACAAAGGGGCTTGAAGCTGTCCGGCAAACCGTCCTCAGTCATCTGATCACAGGGGAGCTGGAGACGCAAGCTGATGGGTGTTTTCTGTAAAGGTTCTGAACCTGTGCCAAAGCACCGCCTCCTACGGAAGATGTTTAAAGAGCCCTGTGCGTCGATACCGTATTCGCCCCCCTCTGTTCATTATCTGTAATGCGCCTTGTAGTCAATCCAAGGTGTTCTCTCTTGTTGTATGTGGTAATTGTTGTATATTAACATTGCTGTCATGTAGCTCTGTATCTATAGCAAAGATACTAACGCGCATTACCCTCATTTATTGATCATGATACAATATTGCCGTCTGTATTGTACCAATGTTTATATTTCCTTATTTTGAATTATTATTGTTATAAACGGTTTAATTACTCCAGTTTGAGATATTGCTCTGCGACAAGTACGAAAAAGTCCCGCGTGGCAACTTCTACGAAGTCGAGCATCCTGCTCAAAGTTAGTGATCATAAGGTGCCGAGGACTGATTCGAAGACCTAATTTCCACTAACAGCTGCTATATGCCTAACGGAGAACAATAGTAGTAAAACATTAACCTACAGCCAATTCATTCGGTTGGTACACTGGATGCACCAAATTCGCTACCAGAAGTCCGCAAGAAAAAGCTACCGTGAGCTGTGTCTTCGTGAAACACACGCTTTCTTGTAGGTGCAAATATGGTTAACTTCATACAAACTCACTCATGGTATTGTCAGGAAATTGTATCTTCAGAATGGTATAAATGGGCCAATGCACAAGGTATAAGGAATATGAGAGCTCTCCAAAATAGGTAAAACACTTCGATGAAAGAACCGAAGTGCTGTCCGGTGAATGAAAAAGAATCAGACCAGCCGTTAGAAGCGTGCAAGCGGTCCTAAAATTTCAGAAAATTATGTGAAATACCATTTCCGTCCACCAGAAGAAAGCGATTTGTAGGGTTTCCTTTACCTATTCAACAAGTGCGAAAGAGCTATTGATGAGAAATTGAGGGCCACCGTCATTATCAACTGGATTCGGTGAAGAATTCGATTAAATAGTTTGTTGGTAAATCCTAAAACTCGACTGGATAAAAATTAATTGAAAACCCTAAAACAATGAAGCAAGAAAAAAACAGAAAGAGGCAAACATACCATAGTCAGTTAATTTCTGATCGGATTGCTGAACGAGAACACCTGAACAGTACGGCATGCTTTCCGAGAAAACCCAACCTTTTTCCATCCATTGTTATGAATGTGTTACATAGATGGTCAATAAAGATTTACTACTATGTGAATTCTGCATTGTTTTAAAGATGGTCCTTCTTAATGAAAACTCGAATCTGTTATTCTCATCTATCGATCAACTAATGAACGCGCAAATCAAACGCAAACAGTCACCTTTCCATCTCCGATTTCCTTAACCACTTTAAGGCTTACGACTTTGGTAGAAAATTTACGTTTGCTTTCAAATGTTATTCGGTTGTCAGTGACCACGTGTGACTGAATGGATTTTTTTCCTATTTCTACAAAAAGAACAAAAAGCAAGTTACTCTCTCCAAAGATGCTACGCGGAGAGCTCTAACGAGACGATACATCCCTTAAAGTGTAACGCTGGTGTTTTAAAGCTATCTCGAAGAGAACGTGATCCTGATGTTCTATGCGAATACTGACACTGAAAGAGTGGCTCATAAATCCTTTTAATCAGTATGATTATTGGCAAGAGCTGTCGGAAGAGGTATACATTTTTCTGTTCCCAAGACCGACTTTCTATTAACCTCAGCATTGATTGAAAATTTGGTGTTTTCCTCAATAACCAGATACGAGGTTGGTATTATAGAATTTATTAGGATGTAATAGCTGGCGTTTCGGCGGTTTCGCCTTCTGAGCGAGGGCTGTGCTTGTGTCAGGTCATTCTGTAGTACTCTATACGACTGCTATCCACCAACTAATTGGAATACTTACAACGAATAAATGGTTCTGAAGAAGGCGAAACAGCCGAAACGTAACGTCAGCTATGGTACCCCAGTAAATTCTATAATACCAACCTCGCGTCTACTTATTGAAGAAAACACCGCATTTTTCTACTTTTATAAGAAGAACTATAATGGAAGGACCGTCCTTGCATGCGCATGTCTACTGTTCTAGAGCACAAAGTTCAGCAAGCTCGGCATCTACACTGAAGTTGATGCAACATCTAAGAAGACCTATCCTTAACCACTGGTGGGTGAGAAAATAGCAGACATTTCGAGGAGGCGGACGACAAAATCGACGTACGTGGCCACCAATTGCACTAGTTTCATCGTTGTTCTCTCAATATAACTTGGATAATTCAACATAAGCAGACCACCTCTGCTGAAACCAATTTTGAGTTGAGCGATGTTTTCGTAGAATGGGAATAAGCAGCGGCCATAGGCACCACAGGAGTGCCTCCACGCGATAGTTATAAATTACAGTTCTTAAAAATAAGATAGATGGTTTGTTCGTTTCTCTGCTACTTCGGGTTATTACACCGCTCGTCAGTCGATCGGTGGATCGACAATTGGCAAAATCACGACCACAACATGTTTTCGACAATCAGCTTGGTTCAACACAGGTATGAAAAAGGCGGGAATGAGGCCAATAAATCTATCTAGCATCCTCGCGTAAGTTTAGTGGTCTCAAAATATTTGTCATTTTTGATGAGGCTAAAAAATGTCGGATTACGAAAAAAACTTGCCGTTGCCATGGAAGAATTCATGTCACAAGACAGCAAATTTTTTTTCAATGCACAACGATCTGAGACCGTCGGCGTCAAAGACACGTTCTAGTATATCTAGGCTTTCCAAACTCGACCAGCGTCCGGCATGTCAATGAGGACAGAAGTTCACAATTCTCCACGTTGCAGCTAAATCCATCCCCGAGCATGAACACCGCTTACTGTGAAGCAGCAAAGAGAATTTGAAGGAAAGGGACTTGTACCCGAAGCCACAGGATTTAGGTATCTCAATATTCTTCAGGTAAACGCTAAGAGTGAAACACATGCTTACCCAAGATGAACTGCCACAGTCTAGCATGTACCATGTTGAATGCATAGGCAGTAGGAAGAAAGATATGAAATAAAAGAGAAATTGATCCTGAAAGAGTTGCCTTTCAATAAATATCTTAGAAAATTTCATGCGATCTGTTAAAGAAGCTACATGTAATAGAACAAAACATGGTTGAAATATGGGACAAAAGCTGCGGCTGTAAGCGGAAGCGGCATTTCATATTTCGATAACAGTTAGTATTCACGAGTTGTGCGCACTCAATCACAGTTCCGAACCGTTCCGCTCTTTGTGCAACTCTCATCAGTGGCAATGCTATGCTCTTTTCATGTTTTATCTCTTCTTTTCACATATTGAACTCCTCAAGTGTAAGTATGTGGTCGGCATGTCTTCTTCAGTCGTAAATTCAGGCTGAACCACAAACACATCTGTCCTTCGTGCAGGTGTCTGCTCTATGAAACGCTGACGCCAGCTTGCTGTCCTCTCCCTCGTTTTCTTCGTCACCTTGACATACCTATCTATTCATTGCTTTCAATCTATAAATCTCAAAAGCTTAACAATCGATAATAGCCTGAATCCATGGGGCAATACCCTTTTGCGCTTTTGTAAGGTCAACAAGTACGAGCAGAAGAATGAGAAGGTGTGTGAGCACAATGAGTTGCTGCTTTCTTGTTAGATATGTTCTCTTAAAGGATTGAAAGAGAGTAATGTGTTTGTAGCCTGGATGAGACAAGAAGCCGCCGTCGGAATGCCGCTTGCTACGAGATCCTTCACTGGTGAAGCACGCAGTTTCCAGATCGAATTAAACCCGATATTGTATTGATTACTTCTGGAGCTTCGTCACCTTCCATGATTTTCTTCGCAGTTTCAACTTCGGAAAAACGATAGCAGGCTGATATTTTATCTACAAAGATTTTTGATTTCAACCTCTGGTAAGAGAATGAAATAATCTGCAGAACTTTTCAATGCCAGTTTCTTAAGAAGAGACCCAGTAGTAATAAATCAACAACCGTTTATCAGTGTTAATAACCAGGTATAGTTCACTACTCCTCTTCTCTAAGGTTGATCCCTCTTTGAACCACTCTTTCTGCTTGCACTATTGGTCATCGTATGACGAAATCCTGTAGCTGACGTTTACTAGTCGCAGCAATGGATATGTTTAAAGCCAATATCCAGTCTCGGTTTTCTGCTCTTCTTCAATATCTCCCTGTTGGTGGTTGTGGTACGATCTCAATTTTTTGCTTGATAAAATGTGGAATATTCCGGATAACTTTTTAGTTCTCCAGCAAGCAGTCCCGCTTGTCTTGTCTTTATTGACTGTCAACCATGCTACTGAAAAAGAATTCCATTTCCGCCATGCGCAACTTTCCTTTTTCTTCTTGGCTGATGACGGGAATATTATTGTATACTGAGAACGAGTAGATCGAATCGTTTGGCAGAAAAATGAGTTCATCGGATCTGGTGTGGAACGATGGCTTTGTGAAGATTTCAAAGAGACACTGTCTCTCGCTTTCTAATTCGTTCGTCCACAGATTGTTAAGTGGCAGTTAATGAAACCTATCTTTTTATGAAATAGGTGCTGAAGGGCTAGAGAATTTCTAAGAGAATTTAGATCTTTAAAAATCGATGAGGCGGCGACGAATGGATACTGAACAAAGCGTGCGCTATTTTGATTTTATGACCGGAGCTTGTACCGGTTTAAGCGGATAGACTATCGGTGGAATTACAGACATTTTATACGGTCAGCCGCTCCAAAACATTTTTTATGTGTCCTCGTTGCCCTTCAGAGATGATCAATTGATCAGTTGCTCCTCTTGTCCGCGAAAATCAAAATACATCGCATACTGCACTGTACATACATACTATACTTGTGAAGTTTTTATTTGCGCTACTACTTTACTACTTTCACCATTTCTACTATTTGCCCCTACTTTTTCGTTTGTTTTTAACCAAAAGTCGACAACGGGTAGCCCGCAGTGCTCAACAATGGTACAAGTTTGTTTTCAGTTTTGCTACGAGATAAAACTGTCGACTTATCGCTTTTTTAAATGAGTTTGCTCAGTGACTGGCCGTTTGGCGCACAACCCTTTCTCAACATCCAAGAATACTCTTCCAGCCACGCGGACACGACTAACCAGTGGGCAAAATTTTACATAAGGTTCCAGAAAAACAATTCTATAAATCTCGTTGACGGGTGGTTGCTGACTGCCTGATCGATAAAACTAGCTGAGAGATAGGCGAAACGAAGGACCCGCATTGTGTGGTGGTAAACACATCAGCCTCTGGAAAGGGTAGTAGCGGGTTCGTTCCCCATCGCAAGCACCTGCGGTCTGAAGTTTTGCAAATATCTCAGCATCATTGTAGTTGAGTCACACACAATAACCTGCTGTGAAGAATTGTAATCAGCAGTAAATAAAAAGTTAAAATTTTATAAGTGCTGTAAACAGGTTCTTACCAGCGGCTACTAGAAAGAGGTAGGCTAACCGACCACGTATCGATTTGTAGATTACAAAAAGAAGAGGAAATATGAGGTAGAACTGCATTTCTAAAGCTATCGACCATGTGTGGGTGAAGAGATCACTGGCTTTCGTTACCTGTAAAGCACTGCGGTACAAGGTAGGAACATGAACAAAATCCATTGAGTGTATTACCGTAGTTAAGTTCTGAAATGTTTCTTTGACACATTTTTGATTTTTTTTCGTTGAACTTACCATCCTCAAATAATTTCGTGTGCTGTCAGCGGCTTTAATGTTTGTGGTGAAAGTCAGCGCGTAAACAGCCGATTCCCAATTGCTAGCTTGTAAGTACTGTATGAGAATAAAATTAGAAGCGATTAAGGAGAGTAGAACAACTAGCAGATAGGATGGCAGAATGCGCCGTACTCGACGGTAATAGAATTGCATGATTTCTTGAAATCCAAGGCGTTTTTTCCCTTCCAGCATCATAGACATAAGGAATCCTGATAGCACAAAAAATCTGCAAGAATTTCATGGCAAAGCAAGAAGAAAACCAACGAAATTTATACCTTTGTTTTAAATTTGTCTCATATAGAAAACTGGATATTTTCTGAAATATTATGGATCACTGGCATGTGGGTGCGTGTAGCGCAGTGGTTGGAGGCGCCACTGCGACCTCCAATAAAAAGGGCTCCACAAATTGGTATCAGACTTGTGTGGGAGGATGGCAGCACTGGTTCGATAGATCCGTAGGCCACCACCAGTTATTGTACAGGCCAGATATGCATTTAATCACCTCCAACGAAGTCGAATACAAGGCTTATCCCTAAAGGGGTTGATCGACGCCGACAGCTTCATCCTTTTCTTTATTATTATGGATCACTTATGCGAACGATAAAGAAATAATTCATCGCCTGTGAAGGCTTTTCCTTCGCTAGTGATTGCTGCGAAATTGTCAAATGTCCCTGTCTGATGGCAAGCCACAACACTTCCACTTCTTCACCAAACGCAGACGTCTTCGTTTCATTCACTTTTGTAGAAGAGCTGAGGGAAGCGGACAGCACCGTGGTAGTGTTGCCCGTCATCGCGAGCATGGCGCTAACTCGATTCCGCCCGGAGCAACGAAGCCTCTCATTCCTCCGGGAGCGTAGATTTGGTACCGACCTTGTCTGTGAAAAAACCACTCTCTGCACTCCAATTGGGAACGCTATAGCTTGGCTATCTCAGGACTCCAGAGAGAATTGGTCGACCAGCATTCTACGACATTCAAGTTGAAAAGAAAATCCTCAAGCAGCAACCAAACCCACACGTCAAAACTTGGAAGACCTTCGTGGACAGTGGATGCGAGGAAACGAATTGTTGAATGTGAGAGATGCTGGGATCCGTACAGTAGACGTGAAGACGGGTTATATAAAACAATTTAAAAAAAAACAAAGAAGCGGTGAAGGTTTATGTGCGAGCAACTCGTTGAGTTTTAAAGCCTTTATTGTCTTAACTGTCGTTTTCATTGTCACAGCAGAGAACTGTGTTCTAAGAAACAGGTATAAACCAAGAATAAGGCTGAAGTTTAGCCACCAATGTACCATATTTTATGTTCACATATGGAGCACGTGCAGCGTAGTGATCGGTGGTGCTCATAAATACACACGTCGTCATTGCTTCGATACCACATCCATGGTTGACCAAGCACACACCCGTCCGCGCTCAAAGATCTGGAGCTGATCTAGATTAGAAAGACAGGATCGCCGACTTTACATATCGATGGGAGTTTGGAATCCATTGTATAGCTTACATATATGTTCGACTACCTCTAGATCCTTAATGTAGTCTAATCCACGCCGTGTATCTCATGGGCTGATTACGCCTAACTTTATTTCCTTTGTCATTTATTCCACATGTTACGTTGACCTCGGCCATTCGCAGAAATCGCTACCTTCTTATAGAAATTCTAGTCATAAAACAGCAAATCTCTTTTAAACTCAGAAGGATTTACGTTTAAAACCTGAAAACGCCCTAATCCATCACGGAATTCCCCGGAAAGATGAGCGTGGTTGGCAAAGATTCAACAGCTAATGAAAGCGATAAAACATCGAGGTCCATAGGTGAACACCACCACTTCCATGAACGAAATCTGAAAGCGAGAACGAGAAAATGAATTAAAGTATCATCTAGGCTTATCTTCAATGGACGATAATGAACTTCGCTGCATAATATCGTAGCGTTTCACTTAATTCTGATCAACGAGTCTCGGAAAGTGGCAATATCATTGAAACCTAAAAAGCAGGTTTACTTGCTTATTTACTTCGATGGCCCGTCCTTACTGGTAGTGCAGCCCTCAGCATAATTTCCATTCTTCGGAGATTTGCCAGTTTAGTCGTTGTGGTTCTCTGCAGTCCAGGGGCGAGTCCAAGCAAAGTCTTTAGAACAGCACCATCCAGACAGTCGTAGCTCTTGTGGATTAGAGGCGGATTTGCCACCGCGAGCACAGCTTTATAGCAGCGAGGTGGTGATTCTTGGTATTCGTGTACTCTTAGCCGGACTCTCGAATGGAAACGTTGGACTCCGTTCCATTCTAGAAAACCGCGCTGGGGAAATGAACCCCCGTTGTACATCTGCTGCTCAACACTGAGGAACATTTTCGAGTCACGATGAGGCGGTAAACCGTTGAGGATAAACATTTTTACCAAGCATATTTGACTTAATAAACCATAAAAGAGACCAATCAAAAATAAACTTTTGGGAGAAGAGAACACTCACTGATCGACTCCTACATATCCATTCGGAAAATGTTCTCCGTAGAAATGAAATGCGAGTACAGCGACGATCGACACTGCTCTAATCCCTTGCAAGTCACTTCGGTGTCTATCACTCTTTCTGTGAGACAAAAAAAACTAAGGCTTATCAATGAAATTCTGTCTTACTTCTTATCTCCCATCTCAGAGCGCTTTATGTGGCCCAGGTTCCCACACATGTGAGAGTCTAGTGTTCCTCAACTCTTTTGGTCATTAAAAATTTTGTCAAAAATTTAGGTCGAGGTGGCTGAACTTCGTGTAGACACTGTAATATTAAAATTACTTCGTTATATGCCTCATAAATATGCTAACTACATAAATCCGTAAAGGCTTTAAAACGAGCTCTTGAGACGGTGGTTGTTTTCTCGGTAGAAAACTCCCTACCTGGTTGAGCTTATTTCGAATTTTCCTTTAATGTTTCTCTTTCCATCAAAATAAACGAATGCAATTGGCTGTTTCGATGTCATCCTGATCAAAAAATAAAAAACTGTCAGCTGGAATATTCAATAAGCGTTTCGATTCCAATTAGAGAGAGAAGGAAGGAGACATCAAGACAGTGTCGAAGGCAACCATGCCGACGATGCCGTCCATTGATGGATACCATACCCCATTTTTGGGAACTTCTTTAATTACTGGAACCGACGACGTTCATGTCGTTGATATTTTCTGTTGAATGGAAATTCTATTATATCGCTATCTGCCCTTTAAATGATAGTCGGTCTTTTCTGTCAAAGTTATCTTCTCTCCAAAAGTCTGTTAAAAGTGGGAAGTTCAAAAGGGCGCGAAATTTTATTTCAATCTTGTTTTTGAGACTTATTGTTTAAAAACGGCTATTCAAAAGTTTCTATATCCATGCATATATCCTTATCTATACAGTGTCGTGTCTCTTTTAGATCTTCGTCTTTTAGAGGATCTGAAACAGGCTGAAAACCAGTGCCAAGTCTCCGCCTGTTAGGACTACTATACATGGATAATATTAGAAGAAAGAATAACTTCAAGAACCAATGAAATACCATTAAGATTAACATGTCCTAATTTTATGAATAGGGCGAATGTAATATTTTTCTGTATCGAAGGAAGTTCAAAAATCGGGAAAATGTAGCGGGAGGTTCTCGTATGAACGCCGGAAAGGGGTCAGACGTTTCCGATAGGAATCAGCGGCCGTTTGTTAGTGAGATTAGCTTGACGATAACTCAATACACACCGTTCCCTTCTAATCCTGACTCTCGAGGTTAGAATACCACGCTCAATAGTGATAACGTCTAAATATTTGCTACAGAGGACAAATATTTTAAAACCGACTGTACTTCAACCTCGGTACCAATAATCAACATATATTCCTTCTTTGATAAGCTTAGACGAGGTTGATAAACGAATTATATTAGGCTAATGCTTCGATGTCTTCGTCCTCAGCAGAGCCGACGATCCGAGACTTTAGTCCACAGCTCTTCTTCGTCTCGATTTAGCGCCTTCGACTAGTGCCTTCTGTAGGACTGGTTGTACGTGAAAAACAAGTTGCTATCACCAGACAATCACAACTATCAACCATCAGCATTCCGCATAAAAGGACATTAGCGGGTGAGAGTGCCTCATTCAGGAGTTGGTCAGCTAAGGAATACGCAACTCGATATGAATGCGAAGACATCGAGATGAAGAAGAACCGTGGACTATCGACTCGGATCATCGGCTCTGATGAAGACGAAGATGTCGAAACGTTAGCCGAATAAAATTTGTTTATCAGCGTCGTATAAGATATAGAATAAGATAATAGATATATAAGATATCAAGATAGAATACAAACAACAAACGTTGTAGCTGACTATTCATCAAATAGGTATAGAAACAGTATCATATCGATTCGTCAACGGTTAAAACAAAATTTCGGTCGAATGTCTTCTTTATATTTCTTATGATCCGTCTTTCACATCTATTGTGCGGATCTCTACATATATCACATTCGATTCGTTTCGTCACATCCACCATCCATGAAGGCCTTCCATCTTTTAGGTATCGCTTCGTCTGCGGCTTGAGGATTTTCATTTCATCTTAAAAGTCCAGACGTCCTGGTCACTTGTCCACTTTCGATTGAAAGAAATAACACGATTACCTTAAAGAAGTCTTTTTTTTCAAACTGTTGAACAACGCAGAAAGACCCTTTCGGCTAACTACAAGCAGTTTTACATTATATTTACAGCACTTCAATTTTTTTGTCCTGCGAATCGGAAATGTAGGTACTGGCGCAAAGGAGCGGATAGCGCAGTGGTCCCCGTCATCACGAGCATGGTGCTAATTCAACTCCGCTGCGGGCCAACCAATCCTCTCATCTCTCCGAGGTCTGGGAATTGGTACCAGACATGTGTGGGAAAAAATCACTCTCTACAATCCAATTGGGAACGCACCAGCCCGGCAATCTCAAGACTCCAGGGAGAATTGCTCGACCAGCATTCCACCACATTCAAGATGGAATGAAAATCCTCACGAAGCAACCGAAATCACTAAAATATAATTAACTGAGTGGGAGAGATCTTTGGCCCTTCTTTATCAAAAGACATCGCTATCATGCAAAAATCTGATAATATTCGGAGCAGAAAGCTTCATTTGCTACATTACTCTCACTTATGCGCTGATGCTGTTCACATGTACACTCGTTATTCTTAGCCTATTAGTGAAGGTAATAATAATGAAAAGTTGAATTGAGTACCAATCGATGTTATGCGACCTCTAAAGATGCTACGTGATGCCAGTTAACAATCTGTCAACGCTGTTTCCTCACCTGCAACTCGTCGGCTTGGCATAGAACTCAGTGTGAAGTAGGCGTTTCAAGTAGGGGTGTAGGAATGCCCATAAAAGCCAAAATTTGCTTTTGTCGACCTGTGTAATGGATTATATTTCAGTTGTTCTTTACTAAAAGGACAAAAGTTATAAAGCTTTTGGCGGTAGTCTATCCGTTAGGGTTCGCCGCGTTTTCAACTATACCTAACATCGTACAGGTGAATAAATGCTTACCTGGTCTATGCAATAGCTTGCACACTTTTACAAATGTGTAAAATCATCGTCTTGCTACACATTTTTCCAACAGCGATGCCGACTCGTGGCTTCCAATGGATAAAGGAATACATTAGCTTCGGGATCAAGATTGAACCAAACCACGTTTACCATGGTGCACCTCTAAAGCACTGCCTTACACATGCCATCATTATTTCCCTAGCAGTTGAAAAAAGTCTTTTTAGCTCATTGTGATGTGTAAAATTGAAAAGAAACCGCAAGTGAAGAATAGAATTGTTGGAGAATCCATATTAATGCCATCAAAGGAAGGTGAAAAGCACTTTCAAAAATGTTCTTCATTCATTCCAATTCACTAATCCACTCACTGACTAAATGTAAAGACACATTTCAAACTTTAAAGCTCTGAATCCTCCGTTTCCAGAATCGATTTCTAAAGCCGGTCTCAAGGCATCAAGCGAAAACAAACAAAAAGGAGCCAATGAAAGTTAGAAAAGGTGAGGTAGGAATCAAGAAGCAGGATGACATTAATACGGAGAACGCTCGGCCTCAATAGAGAGCATTTGAAAAAGATAGAGGAAAGAATTTCAATGAACTGAGATTTTCAGTGAAGAAAAATAACTCGAATCCTACCGAGTCGACATCTGTTCGTTTTTCAGTTGGAACACAAAAGTCCGAACTGGAAAATCAATACTACGCTTCTTCAATAAATCTTCTTCAGCTTTATGACTTCTTGTTCGTTAGAAAACTTGGTAAAACAGGTTCATCAAGATCACAATACAAAATCGATACCAATATTTTATTTTGTTACACCTACATTTTTTTGGTGTATCAAAACATTGGCCGTTCCATAGAGACACATAAAACCGCTTTACTATATGACTTCCAATGTGGAACGGATTGAAAATCTTTCCACGGTGGTGAAAAGACGCTTATGATTGCATCACTCCTAACTTTTCTAAACCATACTTGAAATAGTAGCCTGTTTAGGCCATTTTTTGACCTCTGCCTCTACTTCATTATGTTTTCTCCGTCAGATCCCAATTTTCTGGTTAAGAGTTTCTAAAGCGACAACTGCGGCATGCTGACGAACTCTTCGAATTTCTCATCTCAGCAAAATATCACCTCTATAAGTGCCACCGTGCTAAACGCTGTATTCCAGATATGCCCAGCCAGTTTTCTATTTTCTCAAAATGCCGTTAATTTGAAAACAAAAAACATCTTATGGCGCTGTATTCACTCGTGTATACGTAATTTGAGATCAAGCTCAACTTCCATTTTGTCTAAAATGTTACCATCTAACCAGCTTACGCTATCTGCTCGCAGTCTTTTGAGTTGCAAAAATAGGCCGTCATTTTGTCGCCAAAGGCAAAGGTGTCTGTACGACAGAAACCTCTCCCCTCCTATCGTCAAAAATGAGAGGGTGGATTCCGCAAATGCGACAACCATTCGTATGAGAGCAGTGTTAAATCTCTCCCATCCACACATTTCCTTGTTCTCTCTTATACTTATCGGCGATACCGTACATAATAGTTTGTCACAGACCTTAAAAACACTGATAATTAAAACTATTAGATAGTGTCCGCTTTATGTTAACTTTTTGTTTTCTGTCCACTGCAATTTTTTTCACAGTAGGGTATTATTCGAAGTACAACTACAATGATGCTGAGATATTTGCAAAACTGCGGAACGTAGTCGTCTGCGATGGGGATCGAAAACGCTATCGCCCTTTCCGGTGGCAAGCGCTCTTACCACCACACAATGCGGGTCCTTCATTTGGTCCTTCTTTCAACTAGTTCAATATCGTTGACGGGTGACTGCTCAAAACATTATTAGGCAGAACTAGCTAAGAGAAAGGCGAAACGAAGGACCGGCATGGTGTGGTGGTAAGAGCGTTTGCCCAGGAAAGGGTAATAGTGCGTTCGTTCCCCACCGTAAACACCTGTGGTCCGGAGTTTTCCAAATATCTCAGCATCACTGTAGTTGTATTTCACATAACACCGTGCCGTGAAAAAATTGTGGTGGACAGAAAATAAAAAGTTAGTCCTGTGATTTCGGCTACGGCCTCAGCTTAGCTGGGACCAATGCCGATTTGTGCTCCCCAGATCAGTACTGTTGGTAACTGGTGACTGCTGATGGCATTGTTAGATGGAAATAAATGAGAAAAAGGCGAAAGGACCCGAATGGTGTTGTGGTGAGCGCATTAGCCTCCGGAAAGGGTAATAACGAGTTCGATCACTGCGGTAGGCACTTGCGATGCGCAGTTTTGCAAATATCTCAACATTACAGTGTCTGAATTCTTTTTAATAGTCAGACACCTCAGTTCGCATTCGATAACCATTTCTTCTACAGTATCGAGACTTTATCCATCTACCTTATGGTATTGCACATCGCCACCAAGGAAAAAAATAGGGAGAAAATAGGTTTCTATTCTTGTAGACTCATTAGGATACTAGACCAGATTTATTTTATATTAGCTGATGGCTCCCAACAGTTTACTGCCTAATCGTGGCTGAGAGGTGTTCCTAGGTGTCTGACTGCGATGTACAGCGTAGGATTCATTCCCTGGCAGGGTCTCCCAAGCTGAGAAAGAGTCCGGCGTTTCTATCAGGAAGCCTAGCTAAGAGCAAACCAATACCAGGACCCGCCAGCGTTCTGGTGCCAAAGTCGCATGGTGGTAAATCTCCCTTTGATCCACAACGGCTGCGACTGCCTGCCGTGGTGAAGACCTGGGGCAGACTTTGCCCAAACTGACCTCAGGACTCCGAGGAACCATAATGGCTTAACCAGCAAATCTCCGAAAAATGGTGATTTTTGCTGGAGCCCGCACAACTGGTGAGGATTCAAGTAT